CAGACATAGACATAATCTATAAATAGTTAAAAACATATATAAAAATGGCGTAAAAACCTCCTATAACATTGCTTTTTTCTCATCCCAGAATACAGGATCATGGAATAATGGCCTTAAATTACAGAAAGGCAGATTCTACTCCTTCAAGTTCAACAACAGAAGTAATGACTTAGGGCAAAGGTCCAAAAACAGTGACCCAGGGGCCATGTGAGGCCCTCCAGTATCTCTCTTGCCACTGCAGAAGAGGCAAGGCAACAATTTTAGACTAGTGGGAGGTTTTTAAGGGGCCAAACTGAGCACTTGCTTCAACCTTCAATACCTCCCTTCGGAACTGGTCTCGCCTGCTTTTGAGGTGTGACCCTTAGGTGGTGCTGCCCTCAAGCTGACTAAGGTTGCAGGGTCCTGTCCCAGGTTGCAACTGGATGCAGAGGCTGGATAAAGCAGCTTCCACTGGGATTCTCACACTGAGCAGAAGTTGCACTAGAGGGCTTCTGTGACTTCCTCCTCTGGAACTAGAATCCGATGGAGACTTGATTTGTATATGGCCTGGACTTCAGTTTTTGCAGGTTTTCCAGAGGAAAAGCATGAGAGAACCAAGAAGAGCAACCTCCTCATTCTCCTCCTTTTCTCAAGTAGGCCACCTCAACACCTAGCAGGCCATCCTCAGCAACCACTTAAGAGCCAGGTGACCCACTAGAAACCTAGTGAAATCATTTTAATTTTAACCCACTGGGCTGCAAGCAGATGTTTCAAACCCAGTTGCTGCCTGGTCGATTACCCTTCACTCTGCGTTTGCTGTGCACGCGCCATGCTGAAAAGTTTGCTTTGGGGGAGGGGGGAGGAACAGCTGCCAAAGACTTTCCACTTTACTTCTGAATGGTTGTTTGTTATAAGGGACAGAACATTCAGGGCAAACTGTTCCCCTCGCCAGGGTCCAAAGTCAGCATTCATGAAGATTTACACTGGGGAGGTGTAGGGGAAGAAAATACGGGGCAGCGCTTGCCCAACACACAGAGCATTGTGCAATACGCCCTCCTGCACAGTTCGGGGCTCTCGCAAGAGTAACTTTGGGAAAGGCAGAACCACACCTCCTGCCAGCTGCAAGCAGAAAAGCCTCCTTGTCTGGCTGACCCCGCTCAAGGAGGTAAAATGAAGACCAGAACTGAAAGCAAGTGGCACGCTGAAAGGAATACAAGGTTATTTAATTTCTTCTCTCTCTCTTTTAAAGCTCCCAGGCCAGACTCCTTCAAGATGGCAACCCCTGGGACGGACTGTGACTTCCCAAATTCCCGACTGGGGGAAGCGGTCGACTCAAAATCACCTAATTAACTCTCCAAAGGAGTCTGGTAGCACCTCTTCCAACTAACACATCTTATTAAAAGGCAGAAGCTTTAATAAAGCTTCGGGTTTTTTTGTTAAATGTTAGTCGGAAAAGGTGTTACCAAACTCCTGACTTCTACCACTGTTGACTGACGTGGCTCTCCTCCCACGTCTAACTCTCTGTCAGTGCTGCTAGACTGGAAAACCTGTTATCAACAGGGAGCTGGACTGGATGATCTCCGAGACCTCTATGCTCCTATTACTACTATGTTCTTATTACTACTAGTGAATTTAATTCTTTCTCTCCTCTCCTCCAAACAGATCCAGACACCTGCTTTTCATATTGGTAATTGGCCAAATCAGCTCACCTACAGATTACATCATCGTTATTATAGATTTATATCTCACCTTTATTCTGTACAGCTCAAGGCAGCCTACACAATCCTCTTGCCTATTTCCCAACAACCCTGTGAGGCGGGGTGGGCTGAGAAAGAGCGTCTGTCCCAAAGTCACCTGGCTGGCTTTCCTGCCAGAGGCAGAACTAGAACACAGGGCTCCTGGTTTCTGGCTCAGCACCCTCACCGCCACCATTGAGGGCAGGGCAGAGTCTCACACACTGACCACTGTGTGCCAGAGCGTCTGCCAATCGCTTGCCTGGACCCATTCTGTGGAATCCATCAAAATCCCCCAGAACTTTCAAAAAAGATCCGCCTGTACGATATCTGGCTTCTGAGATTTTCTGCAAAATTTGGGGATTCTCTCGCATGGCGATTTCTGTCCAATTTTAATTGTTTCAGGCCGCTTGTCCCATGTAACCTTTCCACACTTCAGATGAAAATGTTTTCTCCCCAGTTTGCCTTTCTGTTTCTCTTAACTCCCTTCTAGCGGACGGAGGGGCTGGTGTGGGGGTGGGCGCGGAGCCACAGCTGCAGCTGGGTCAGCAGAAATCAAAACTCCCTAAGAAAACATTAAATTTTTAACATGAAAGCCACACTCTGGATATTTGGTTGTCTCTCCTGCTTATATTTGTAAGTTCCAAAATCTTTAGCGCCCTCCTTTCTACTGCAGCAAGTGAACTCTGATTTACCTCCTCTCTCATTCAGGTTCCTGAGAGGTTATACTGCCAGGCCGCTGCAATTAAGATATCGTAAGGGCAACTGCTGAGCGCTCCATACTGGATCCCCAGAGGGAACTGGCACGAGAACGAGAGGAGCAAAACAGATCCCTGACAGCTTAGAAAGCGCTTCCTCCAAGACGAAATGCCCACGTAACCCCCCTGCTTCGCAAGCTGCACTGGTTGCTGGTTTGCTTCCAGGTATGATTCAAGGTGCTGGTTGTTACCTATAAAGCCCTACATGGCACAGGGCATGGTCACTCGAGCGACAGCCTGTCTCCCGTAACATCTGCCCAGCTGATTCAATCCTGCAGGGTTGGCGCGCTCCAAGTTCCTTTGATTAAACAATGCCATCTACCGGGGCCCCGGAAGCCTGCCTTCTCTGTGGCAGCGCCTGCCCTCTGGAAGGAGGCTCCCCCCAAGATCCGGATGGCCCCTACTCTATGTTGTTCAGAAGAGCTGTGAAGACCAGGCCTTTGGCGAGGGAGAGTGGGGAAAATAGGAGCATTAGCTAAGTTTGCCACCTGGAGTAATGTACAGAAAAGGCAGGGTAAACATCTAATAGTAGTAATAGTAGTAATAATAATGCTTGCCATCTTTTACTCTTATTTTTCATGTTTTACTGATTTTACTGCAATTTCTTTGATCATTGTGAGCCACCCAGAGCTGTTGAGAGTCAGGCGGCATACAAATGTAAGTTATTACTGTGGGTCACAGAGTCAGCCAGATGTTTAGACTGGATTTTGCATTTTTATCCACTTATCAAGTCCTTCCCAAGGACTGGGGATAGGCAGATGTTGTTTGAATTATTATTATTATTACTATTATTATGATGGTTGGTCGCACAGTCAGCCAGATGTTTAGACTGGATTTGGCATTGTTGTCCACCTATTGAGTCCTTCCCAAGGACCTGGGATGGACAGATGTTGCTGTTTGATGGTGTTCAAGGTATTGTGGCAGGATGGAAGCTGGTCCAAGTAAAGCTGCCTTTGGCAATGGACCGATTTTGTCAATGCCGAGGGTCTTCAAGGGATGCTCCAGATGTTTTGGGATGGCACCCAAGGCACCTATTACTACTGGTATTATCTTTGCTTTCTTTTGCCACAGTCGTTCTACTTCTATTTGCAGGTCTTTGTATTTTGCGACTTTCTCCAGTTCTTTCCCTTCTATTCTA